CTTGAGTATGATGTCATCACTATTAGTCCATGATTTCTTTCAAGGAAGAAAGAAAATTACAGATTGACAAGATGGATGCTGATAAAGAGCAGTAAGTGATTCAGGGATGGGGAGACTTCCACCGGAGATCCCTGAAACCCCAGCTCTGGGTTACAGACAATCAGCTTTCTTGAGGCATGGGCTTTTGGGTGAGGCTGCTGTTTTTGAGTCACCTCTGCTCACATAAGTCACCTTTCACCCACGCTCCTGTAAACCACCCTAGTAAGATACTTTGGCCCACAAGGATAGACTTGGTGGAGACTTCTATTTGTTTTGCCACTGATGCCTCATCTGGGGAGAATGGCTATTTATTCACCTCTTGTGAGGAAAACTACTTAAACAACAGACACATTTCCTTACTTAGAAAATATTAGAATAAGTAGCAATTACTTATCCATCCCCTTCCCTGTGAAGTAAGTCTAGAGAGGCCACCCACAGCTTCATGTCCATAACCAGGTAAATTATTAATATAAACTTCATGGTTCAAATAGCTTACTTCTAGGGAACTGAATTTGTACAGGTGAAAGATAATGTCATAATTACAATAACTTTAGGGCGGAAAAAAAATCAGTAACTGACAAGAACTTTGGGGTGAGCTATTTCACTGAAAACTTATATTCTGAGTTTCTAAAGCCTATATTTTCTGAATGACTCTGCAATACATTCATGAGACGACACGTGTGTTCCCTGAATGCAATGGCTGAAACTGTAGAAATTTACGGTCAGTAACTACCAATGCTCCAAACTTCTTACTTGGGTTACTATACTAGGAAACACTAACACAATTGAAAAGTGATACAAGGGGGTTCCCGGGCTAATGCAACTCTGGTGGTCCCTACATTGGCCGAGGCCTTGCCCAACAAAACCGGAAAACTCTCTTGTTGCATCTTACCTCTCTCACTCTCTTTTCCTTCCACTGCTTTGGCCTGTGCTTTCTTTTCAGGGATATCTGAGAGGAAAATGACCAATTTATATTCGTATTGAGACTGAATCCTGCTTGGTTACCCAGATGCTTTGTTATTTAAGAAAAAAACATAATTAAAAAATAATGAGGAGGAGAGAGTAAACTTGTTTCTGTTTGAGCTAGATATATTTTATCTAGCATATATAGTTTTAGCATAGCAATCCAAACTTGTAATATTTTAACACTTCGTCATATGACTATTTAAACATTTGTTGATTTTGGTATGCAAGAAGATGATTTGAGCTCCTATCTCAGGAGATCCCAGACAAAAGAAAGGGAACCCAGGAGGAGAAGGCTGAGGAAGGGGATTAGTTTCCAAAACTTGTGTGTACTTCAGTAGAGACACCAGTTACTGAAACAAAAAGTGCATGAAGTGAAAAAACGAATAAGCTACATACAATGTGCGCTTCATTTAATCTTACTAATAATGATAAGCTACAAAATTTGGAATGTGGCAATATAGTATTACCTAAAATACTATATGAGAAAGGGCAAGGGAAAGCTTTTTGTAAAATTGAGGTTGGAGAGATGGCTCAGAGGTTAAGAGCACTAACTGCTCCTGAGAAGGACCTAGGTTTGGTTCCAAGAACCTACTTGGCAGCTGACAAACTTCTGTAATTCCAGTTCCAGGGGAACCAATGCCTCTGGGGGCTCCTGCATGCTTGTGATACACTTATGTCCACAAAAATACACATACACATAAAAGAAAACAACACTTTAAAACATATTCTGAAATGGGACAAATGTGTTCTAGAAGTATATTCTTATTAATTGATGAGAATTATTCAGATGGACACTGAATTATAGGCGATAATCCAGGGGGATCTGGGTTATTGTCAAATGCAGGAAGTTTATATTTAGGGGGAAAAAAGTCAATTTAAAAATACTATAAATCAAAGTTGGGCGTCAGTGGCTCATACCTTTAATCCCAGAACTTGGGAGGCAGAGCCAGGCAGATCTCTCTGAGTTCGAGGCCAGCCTGGTCTACAGAGCGAGATCCAGGAAAGGCGCAAAAACACACAGAGAAACCCTGTTTCGAAAACAAAACAAAACAAAACAACAACAACAACAACAACAAAAACCCAACTATACATCGAAACATCATTTCCTTGGAGTGAACTTAATAACATTGATATATAAATAATAGGAGACATAATTGTGAAGATGTTCAACTTTAGATACCCTGGCCAATTTGAATTATGGTAATGCCATAAAAATACCAGTTGAGATTTGGACATGTTAACACTGATTTCTCAGTATTCCTTGTGAAAGTCAACAAGGATATGGAAAAAATCTAATTTCACAATTAATTTGATAGCTTTTGTGTAAAATACACAATTTGTTATAGATAATGAAACCTTTCCAAACATGACCAAATGAGACACATGTGTACATACCATATAGACATATTTGTGCAGATAGACTAGGGAATAATTGAAGCATGTGAAAACATATGTATGTATAATAGATGTATGTGTAAAATGTGAAATATATACAAAGATGTACACACGTGAACTAGATAGTGAAATCTGGTAATTACCATCTGAGGACACAGAGCCCAGGGTGTGCTGTGCCCTGCTTTTTGCTGTTGGGTCAATGACAGCAAAGCTTTCCCACGGAACTCCACGAAGGCATGAAACCAAGTAATGTCTTCCTGGGTTGGCTTGGATGGTGTTGCCGTCAGGGCCCAGAGACCAGATCCTCCGTGTATAGTTCCTCTTGTTATTCTTGATTGTGAACCCCCGAGGAAGTCAGATGAGCCCTGGGTTACTGTAGCTGTGTCTTGCTTGGCATATTTATCATCTACAAATCATCTGCTATAAATATACCTCAGCAGGATCATCATCAGGCCGGCTCAGTAGCCTGCAATTTATGAAGGTTATGGGAAACAGTGTGAAGGGTGAAGCGCTTTATTAAGAGTGGCTTTCCTTTCTGACCCAGACCCGCATTCTACTTGAATTAAAATGATCCTGGGAAAGAGTGCTCCTTTCCATTTAGGATTAAGCCTTTTTAAATTGTCGCCCTAGGCTGTTATTCTTACTCCACGGTGCCACGACTGTAGGGATTTCCAAGAAACATCAAAATCACAATGCTAAATGATAAGCGAGAAGACACTACTGTGTGAGGATTATAATGAACTTCACATTATTTTATGTATTTATGTACAAACCATGCAAAGTATATTTTAGTCTCCATTTTTATTGCATATTTATTATGGATATTTTTGTTCTGGGTTAAATAACAGACTGACCCAAATGTCTTGCAAATATTATGACTGTTATGCCAAAAGTTTAAATAAATGAAACATTTCCTTCTTTTGTACTGCAGAATAGTCTTTCTTTCTTTTTTTTCTTTCTACAAGAAAATGTGTTCACTATATAGACTGTGTTTTGGATTTTTGCATTTGACATATAAGACCCATTTTCTTTTCACATTCCCTTAAATGAATAAAAGCATTGTAACGAACTAAAAATGACACAAAACCAAAATGCCACCCAGGCTGCTCTCCCTGGTGATTTGTTCCTGGGAACATAGTTGAAGCCGGCTGGAGAGTGATTAACTGTTTCCTTTACAGGGGGTTCCTTCAATTCTTGTCCTAAAAGAAAGAGCCTTGAAGAGGGTCATTCTATTAATATGCATTAAGATGTAAAGAGCCAAAGGGCCAATTTTAATATTTCAAACAATTCTGGTGCATAAGAGATCATCAGCACCTTCCTGTTCTCATGATAGCCCTCCTTTGAAAACCGTGTTCTTGGCGATTCAATTGCCCCAGGGGAGAGGAACAAGAGGAGGAATAAAAAATGCAAATGAGAGAGTAGAGCAAATGATGGAAAATTGCTTCATTCAACTTCACCTGGCGCTCAGGCAACTCACCCTTAGGAAGGTTCCGCTGCTCAAATGCATGGCCTATTATGTCTCCTCCCACCCCGTCACCACACTATTCAAACACTTGTTTTGCAAACCACCAACCGCGTCTACAAGTAGAGACAAAATTAGATGGCGAATGACCAGTTGCAGCCTGCATCTGAAGCCTACCAGATACTTCTTCAGTTGTCTGTACAGGAGGCAAAATAAACAACACGTAAATAAAACGGCGGAGGCGTGTAGACATTTATCCTCTTTTCCCCCTTCTCTATGGACAGCAACGGTAGCTTTTCCTCATTTCTTCCCATCACTTACCCAAACTTGCTACGAGGGGAAACTTGACAAGGAATAAATGCATTAAAGAAGGCAGAACGAATCAAAAGTTTAGAACCCGCACTATTGCCCCATCGCCATGCAGGAGGCAGTGCAGGAAGCCTGACCTCGGTAGCCCGCACAGTGGTCCTGACAAAGCCTGTTTCGAGCCTGAACAAATAAGATGCTAATTGCAGTCTGG